TTTAAACGAGAAAGTCCAGCTCAGGAGAAGTGACAAAAATAAATGTGCATTCACCTGTGGTGGACCTAAAAACAGGAAATCCACTTGACATTAGATAATGTTAAATGATGTGATTTAGAAAGTCACTTCAAAACCACTCGTATTTAAAGATTTCACAATATCTGGCATATATATATATATACATATATATATATATATCTTAATGCATTTTACTTACATGTTGTAGTACTCCTTGTACTTGTACTGTTTGGGACAATATTTTATCTTTTGTGGTTTATGTTGTTTTCTCATACAGTGTTTCAGTGTGGACTGCCTCTTTACGTTTCTTTACAGACCCTTCCTGGGTAATTAAAAAGAAACTCTTCCTTTAATTGGTATATTTTGGATTTTATTTGAGCTTTTCCTTGGCCCTGAGCCAACTTTCTCTAATATTCTAACTCTATTTAGCAATTCTTTGGCAAAAGTTTTAGCTTTGTGATTTTTTTTATCCCTTAGCTTTAATTGGAAGCTAATCCTTTCCTCACCTCTCTCCCTCAGCAGTAGAGCACCAGCAGCCTACATCATGAGAATTAAGGTCCAAGTGAAAATATTTTAAGAACATTACGTCTCACGGCACCACTCATCTCCATCCATTGAAGGAGAATTTGAAAAAGGAGAGGGGAAATATATTGCACAACATATTGTTAAAGAAAATGTTTAAAGCAACTTTATGAGAAAAAGATGGAAGTACACATCAGGCAAAACTACTACAGTACATGACCCAAAGGAAAGGCTGTACAAGGGGTTATCAAGCTCCTGTGGACACAATCCACTGACAGAAGAATGAGGTTTTTCCCTTCATAATCAGCCAGGGGTCCAGTGGTGGGAAATAATGTTCAATGTTCCACAGCTTTCACACCAGGGAGAAACACTCAATATGTACGGTATGGTTCTGCTGCAGAGGTCACAGTCTGATGTCACCAACAGCCAAACTGAACAGAAAAAAGTAATTCCTTTCAGTCAGTTCAGAGCAGAATGATAATATCATAGTTTCCCTTGGTTTGTTTTTATTTTTACCATTTCTCATCTACTTCAATTTGACAATGAGATTTTGCATCAACTTTGTGTGATTTGTCTCTCAAATCCACCTCTGTAGCGCATTTGACCATAAAGTCCAAGATGACATGAGCTCATTTCCTCATTTGGGAGTGGAAACACTTCCACTGCTCCACTTGTTCCATTTAAGAGATTTTCCCAACCTACTTTTCTGATGGTTGTGTACCGTGACCTCATGCAAGGAGAAGTTCATTAGTGTTTCTGTTGTCAATAAGCCAGACAGCTGGAGAACTTTGGAAAACCCCTTCATCCCAAACAGAACTGACTTTAACACAAAACTCTTATTCATTCGTCGTTTCTGCTTCATTTTCTCATGTGCTGCTGCGTGATCCTTGGTAAAGTTTTGGGAGGGCTGGAGTCATCCAGGTTCACCCTGGACAGGTCACCAGTCCATCACAGGTTCAAATACAGCTGATTTAGGGAGGACATAAATACCTGTGCCAGTTCACACACTGTATGCTGAATATCCAAAGTGTTGACCCCTAAAGAGACAGAAGCAGCCACTGACAAGGCTACAGTACACAGAATCATTACTGGAATACTTTTTATTAACTGCAGTGAAGAGCTGTGAGTCATTTTGATTCTTTCAATGTCTTGAGTATGAGTTTATGCTCATGGCTTCACCATGAAGTAGCTGTTTATGTCCTTACTCAGCAGAGCTGCTGCTGTTTATGACGTTTCCACAGACTGTGTTAAAGAGCGAGTCCGTCTGAAGCTGTGGGAACTCACTTTGAATATGAATCTGAGCTGCAGCCTCCCTCCACCTGATGATAAAAGCTAATGCTGACTTTACAGCGAGCGGTTTCCGTCCAAGCGAGTTAAAATGAAATGAGTCGAGTCGTGATATTGCAGGCGTCTATTCGTATTTTGTCATTATCATAAAAACGTTTTAAATCTAACTGGCTGTCAGCTCTGACATATTGTGTTGTTTTTTTCTGATTTCATTACCTTCTGAAGTCATGATTTTTTTTTCTCTCTCTCGTTTTTCTTCTCATGCAAACCATTTTGTGCAGCGGTGTCGACCATTCTCTGGCCAAACCATTTTGTGCAGCGGTGTCGACCGTTCTCTCACCGTTCCAGTTTGTGTTGTGGTGATAATGAGTGTCTTGTTCCTTCAGATACAGACTTGCCCTTCGCCATGGGGACAGCGAGGGTGTGAGCTAGTGTTGAAGTAATTTCTCTTAGGATTCATACCACTTTTATATCTGTCAGATAAAACAAGTCAACAGCCTAGAAATTCACTCGCTAACAGATTTTAATCAGACAACACCTAGTTGAAGCCGTACGGTGGTGCAGGGATACAGTATGGTGGATGAAGTCACTCAGACAAACCTCACTTACAGAGCGCTTTCTGTTTTCTGTTATTATTTTCAGCAGGGGGCTTTAGTAACTCCAATACCAATTCTGATTTTTTTTTTTGGATAGTGTAATGTACCATTTTCGATTTTTGCCATTTCAAAATTCCTTCAATTGACACCATATACAAAAAGTAAAGTTTTTCTTCACAAGTAATTAAGATTAACATTTCCCACAAACTGCGGTTTACTGTGGGTTACTAATTCATAAATTCACAAATGTATTCTTAGTGAGATGTGAGAACTGCTGTCCCAGTGTTCAAAGGTGACATCCATTCAGGGCCAGTTCACTTTGTGTCTTTATGCAGGGATAAAAGGCAGAACACAGTGTAAAACCTGTGACTGGAGTGAAGTCAAGTGTAACACTGAGTCATTTAAACAGATTTTTGGTTTTGCTTTAATCAGGATGGAATATTGTGATGGAGGCTCCGTTGTCACCCTGCTGCTCTTTGACTTGAGTCAACTTTGTAATTACTGGTTTGTGCTGTGGAGGATATGTTTTGTTGTTGTACCAAGGGTAATTATTGACTTTGTATTTTCATACACAGGCTGTTATTTTCTCAGACGACTTCTGCTTCTATAAACCCTCAAACCCGGAGCAAAAGATGTTATTGATGCCGCATTTGATTTGAGACAAAAGCAAGAAGGGAATTATACAACATAATAAAAGGTTATATACTTGTGAAGATGGTCAAATATTTAGTATTGGTATTGTGATCGTCAAGGTTGATGAGCAGCAGATCAGATTGATCTGTGAAGAAGAGGAGGAGGTAGAGAAGGAGTAGTAGAGGAGAGGAGTGCCTACTGCTGTGCCTCATCATCCATGCAGGAATGACAACATCTCTCACTCTCTATCACTTTTCATTTTTTTCCACACTCACTGTGGTTAGCTGTCTCGCTCTTTCATTCTCACTGTCAGTGACAGTCTCACTTCCATCTTTGGAAATCCATCTGCCTCTGTGCTCAGGCGTCTCCTCTTGTCTTTTTATCCCGACTCTAACCCCATTCATCTTCCCCTTTTGCATCAGTATGTCTTCCGTCTGCAGTCAGCTGTATTGTTATTTTCACTGTGAAATGTCGCCTGACAAAAGCTGCTGGAAACGCAGAGGACGCAGCCTGAGGCTGTAGAATTATCAGATAACATGGAAGTCAACCTGCGATCCTATATCTGCGGTGTAACCATAGACCGTAGAAACCTGAGGTCCAGGGATGACCTCTCTCTCTGTGTATGTGTGTGTGTGTTGGTTTTGTACGACATACTTACACAGTAGATTGTCAGTAGTTGGTTTTTGGTGTGGTTTAAGGAACCAGCAAATAATAAATAAGAAAAATCTGCATTTTTGGCCGGCCAGTGTTTGTATGTCTTTTCACATAATTTTAAACAATATATAATAATATATAATAATACAATACTATTGTACTGAACTCAGCTGTGCACATTTCAGATTATATTTTTATAAATCTACTACCTCCCTCCAGAGCACAGCATCAATAGAATAGAAGAGAATAGAATAGAATAGAATAGGCATTCTCCTATTCATTTATTTTAGTATGAAATTATCATATAATTTCCATTGAATTTCACCTGGAACTAATCTCTGCACCGATCCATTAGGCCTGAAACCTGTTCGACATCCTGTCAGAAATCGTTCTGCAGGCAGAACTATTGATCAATGAGTTTATATCAATTTACAGGCTCAATGTGCCCTGATAAATTTGCAGACGTGTAAGTGAGGAGAGATAGAAAAGAGGGAGGGGCAGAAAGGAGTAAAGGTGGGAAGGAAAGGACCGCAGGAGGTAAAAAAACCAAAAAGGATAACATACCAAAGACCGATGAAGGGAGACGGGGGCATGAAAAGAGGAGGTCGGAGTAGATGAGTGAAAAAAAATGTGCATTTTAGCTAATACCATTTCTGCTGATGCTGCACAGGAGCTCCATCTGGAAATGAGACGAGTCATTTAGAAAAACCCACACTGCTGTAGGCTGCAGGATTTTAGCAACTCATTTCAAATATACGCCCTTCATATACAGTGAGCATCAGACACTGATGGTAAACATGACCCCAGTTATATTTGTTTATATTTTTCTGCTAAGTCCTCTTTCCTTCCTCTTCTTCTGGAAGTCCTTTGCAGAGAGAAACTAGTTTCCATGGAAACTGTCTGAGTCTGATAAGCTTCACTATACTGCAGCGTCTGTTTGGTGTGTGTGTGTGTGTGAGAGAGAGAGAGAGAGAGAGTATGTTTTAGTGAAGAAAAGGGGTGATAGTGGCTGAAGTGAGACTGATGATAAAGCATACACTAGAATATGCAAAAGAGGCTGTGCGCGTGTGTGTGTATGCTTGTGTTTTATGTTTGTATGTCAGTCATAAGACTTTTTTATTTTTTTTTTTTGCATATACCTTAGATAGACATGTGAGCTGTTTTACTACTTTAGAAATATCACCAGCTGCTGTAGGTCGTTTTAATTTCCACTTCTTTGAAATCACTTCACTGCCAGTGTGGCGTCAGTGTCAGTTTCTAATCAGACTGTTTTCTCTGTGTTTGCTGCAGAACTCCCAGAAGAAACGAGGAGCGAGGCCTAACAACAAACCTGACAAGAAGCTGGTTTCACAGGTATGTTGTTCAAAAACAGGCCTGAGGTTCAAATATCCTCTTACATCTTAGTTTAACAGATAGGAGAACAGGGAGGAGGGCCTGGGGGAGAGGGTGTGACTCCCACAGTCCTTGGTGGAATTCATTCATCACCTACAGATTTAGTTTTTGCCTTTATTTCTTAGATAGGACTATCGTCTCATCCCCACATTTCCCCTTGCACCCCCCCCCCACACACACACACACATTGGCAGCTGCTGCTTCAAAACTCCACTCAATATTATTTCAAACACTGTAATTGTATAAAATTAAATATGATTACAAATAAGTGAATTCTTCACACAAATAAAAATAAATTAAAAATTAAATAGTTTGACCTGCTGCACTCCAGGTCCCTGCAATATGTCCATGCCCCCCCCAAAGGGGCCTGCCATACATTTTAGGAACCACTGTCTCACGGAGGAAAGACTGTTTTATTCAAATATCTTTAATGTAGAAAGACAGTGTCAAAACAAAACATTTTATATAAATATAAAGAGGAATTTGAAGAAACCTGATCAAATAATCCAAACCCCTAACGACCCTGATTATTTAACCAAGTCGTTACATATATAGAAACTGTAGACTGAAGTAGCACTAGGTGAGATTGATAGCAGACAGATTGATTCAGAGCAATAAACTCCAGGGAACAGAAAAAGGATGAGTGGAGATAAAAAAACAACCTGCATCAATATTACAGCCGATCCAGAGGTTAGTGTGTATAATCGATTATCCAGTTTAGGGTATTTGTTTTTTTCACCCTTAAGTGCAAGAGCAGCAGAAAATCCACTCTGATGTTGTTACATAAAATAACACTGAATCTTTGGAGCTGCAGGCAGCTGTCACCTCTCACTGCAGCTGTGACTGATGTTCTTTCCTATGTTTCAACACTTCCCTCTGCGTTTATTCTGATCTTCATAGAAATGCTTTTAAAATCTTTAAGTAATCATAAAGTTTTATTCTTCCTCGGTCATGGTCACTTTTTTCCCCTTAGGAAAAACACAGACAACACAAATGAATAATAAATATGTTTTGAATCTGTTCTCATCCAAATAATCTCCCTCTTAAAAATAATTATTACAGTCTCTGTGGTAAGTTGTGTACTCCAGTCTCAGTGTCAGACTCCTCCAGTGTTTTTCTCTCTGGGCCACACACACACCATAAATGGTTGTAAATGTGTTTGGCCTGGCGTCTCTTAATGTGGTTGGAAATGCTCCACAGACCATAAAAAAACACAGAGCTGCTTATGAGGAACAGCTCACCTCAGGTCACAAGAGTTTGTGTGTATTTCAGGAAGCACTGCACTAAAAACTATATGGTGACATAACCTCGGAAATGTTACAGTTGCATCTTAATTGCCTGAAATATTTTATTTTCCTTTTTTTATTTATTGTTTCTTGCAGGAGGACAGTTCTGACCTGAAATGTCAGCTTCATTTTGCCAAAGAGGAGTCAGCTCTGATGTGCAAGAAACTGACCAAACTGGTGAAGGACAGTGAGGCCATGAAGGAGGAGTTGGCCAAGTACAGGTCACTGTACGGCGATGTGGACGCCTCGATAACAGTGGAGGAGGTGAGGAGCGGTGACAGGGGATGAAGTGATCAAATAAAACACGCCATTTCGATTTTGCCTTAGATTACTATAACGGTTTCTGCTCTTGTCTTTTCCTTTAGGTTGCAGACTCTCCACACACCCGTGAAGCAGAAGTGAGAGTTCATCTGAAGCTGGTGGAGGAGGAAGCCAACCTGCTGAGTCGACGCATCGTGGAGCTGGAGGTGGAGAACAGGGGGCTCCGAGCAGAGATGGACGACATGAAGGGGCCACAAGGTTGTTTTGTTTTTATCAGTTTTCCTCCTCTGAATGTTGTATAAAAACTTGTTATTTTGTTCAGGCTGTTAATGCAGTGATATCAGCGGTGGCAGCTGAAAAACTAAATCTCTTTATTATAGAACAGCAACACAACCATCATCTGAGCTGAGTCAGCATCTCTTTAATGCAGGGCCAATAAAACCTGACATTATGGGATTAAACTTGGGATGTTCTGTGATACTGCCAAACGACCAGTTGGGGGAGCTGACAAAAACCACCATTATCAAGTTCAAGGATTTAAGGATTTACATAAAATGGTGCAAAATTGTGAATTTCAATCACCTGCATATTAATAAAAAGGCAAACTATACAGGAGTAATAAATAAACCAAATTAGAATGTAGTTTGAACACACAATAAAAAATGAGAAGGGGGGCATTGTGCTTGATGGGTGGGTGGTGTCTGGCCTGATACACCCACTGTGTCATTTATTGTTTTTTTTTTGTAAATATTTCTTTATCTGTGTCTCTCAGATGGACCTCAGGAACTCACTGGTGCCAGCTCTGGTCTAGGGGCAGGTCTTGGTATGGCAGGAGCAGCCACATTGCATGGAGGAGGAGCTTCATCTGAAAATGTAATGGAGCTCCAAAGACACCTTCAGTTTGTGGAGGAGGAGGCGGAGCTCCTGAGGAGGTCTCTGATTGAAATGGAAGAACAGAACAAGCTCCTGATGAACGAAATCAACCGATACAAGTCGGAACTTCCTCCTCTGGTGTCCACGCTGTCGTCCAACTCGCTCTCGTCGTTGGCGGAAGGGCTGCTTAACGACAGCCCCGTACACACCATCCAGGAGGGGGCGGTGCTTATCAGCACAGATCCTCCTTCTCAGGAGGAGGAGGAGCTCAGACTAGCGAAGCTTCAGATTGGAGAGCTGAGCGGGAAGGTGAAGAAGCTGCAGTATGAGAACCGGGTCCTTCTGTCCAACCTGCAGAGATGTGACCTGGCCTCTTACCACGCTCCTTCCTCCTCGTCCTCCTCTTCTTCATTACGTCTAACGTTCGACACTGACGCAGAGGCTGGAGATTCAGCCGAGTGCCTTCCTACTAGGTATGGTAACATATTAGCATTAGCTAATTTGCATTAGCATATTAGCCAAATATACAGTTAATGAATGTGGACGTGAGTCTAAAAGTAAATCCAAACAGTAGACTAGAAATCACATATTTAAGCTTGAAGTTGATGAGAAAATGCCTCTACTTTGGACTCAATTTATAGTATATTTTTTCTAGAGAATGTAATAATTATGAGTGTTTGTTTTAAGTCTTTTTAATTAGGACGTGATTCTAGTTATTATTAAATTTGAAATCCCATTTAGAGGAAAACTGGATGTGATTGAAAATTGGAGTGGACAATATTAGGGATAAGTGTTTTCCTTGAACATCCAGGTTCAACGTGGCACTGACTTTAGGTTCTAATCCAGTGGCTTTCTTTTCTAGGCAATTATATGGTTTAAATCATCAAAATGTTCCATATCTTAAGATCAATAATTACGAACAGAATCACAGCTGTTCTTTTAATTTAAATGGTAATGACTATTTGATGTTGTTAGATTTAATGATATTACAAATGCTAATGACTAATGGGATAACCAGGTTTTATATTGCATTACATAACTATAGTTTAATGTGATATTTGATCATTTAGTTTAATGTTTTGCACTTTTTCTTCTTGCTCAGCAGATGAAGTTTAGCCTCAGCTTTTTAATATCTATACTTTGCAGCGTTATTACCTTAATAAATCAAATTAAATCTTTTAAAATCTAAATGAACAAGAAGTCCTCAAGGTGCCCTCTGTTTTTCGATCAGCCCGCCCCATCGCAAAGAGCCAGTAGGGGGCGAGAATGACGCCCTTGAGATCAAGGAACGGAAAGTAAAGCTCGGGGACAACGCTGACGCAGCGCCCTCACTTCCTGGTTGCCCGGGGCAAAGGGACCATGACGCTCTGCTGGCCATGAGAGACCAGGCTCGCTTGGTTTCCACAGCTATACAGCTCCTGACCTCCCCTGAGTCCAACTGCCTCTCGTCGTCTTCCTCCTCCCCATCCATCTATCACAAGGTCTGCAGCAACGATGCAGCAGAGCCGTGTGACCCGGAGAAACCTCAGCCTCAGAGTCAGGTACACGTCCTCTGCGCGGTGGAAACCTCCTTTGATATCCCATTAGGTTTCATGAGATCTAGTAAAACGTATGTGTAGAGGGATGAAGCAGTGCAGTGGTCACATGCTATTCAGTTAGCACACTTACTTCTGTTGCTCCGGACAACAAAAACACCTTGACTTATCTCGTATGTCTTTCTCCCAGATCTCCGAGCTGTCTGACCTGGCAGACCGACCTCTGGTTGGTGCCCTGACCAGCAGGCTCCAGGCTTTACATTCCCAGCTACAAGCCTTTGTAGAGCAGGTGGACAACTTGGGTAAACCTCCAGCAGATGGGAGGGAGCTTCAGGTGGAAGGAGTGTCTCCTCCAGCTTCAGCTCACACCTCCTTCATACATTCTGGAGATGATCAGAATGGATTTCATGTGACTTATGAGAAGGTAAATGACCAGAGAACAAACACCACTTCATTTTTCTTCACTCCTTATCACATTTTCTTACATTTCTCATGAGTCTTTTTAGCTTTGCGTTGTTCCTCCATTTTTCACTTGATCCTTTCATCTTCCTGTAAGTGTGTGTAGTGCCTTTCCATTTATTTGGCTGACTTGCTCACCTGATCCCATTTGAACGCACTGCTTTAGCTTCTCCTCACATTTACCTGGCATCAGACAGGAAGCTCAAATCTGACAGACCACCATCATCGTCGTCCTGACAACAGATAACCAACACCATGAGATAAACAAAGACAAATGAGAGACAGAACATCAGTGACTGTCGTTCAAAACCTTCACCTGAATCCTGTTGACATTCAATTTTCACACAGCCTTCGTCGTCAGATTTGAGTTGTCCGTGTAAAAAGCTCTGTCCTTGCATGGCAACATTAATGTTCGTACCTGTGCTCTCTGGTTTTGATTTGAGATGACATTTAAGGCCTCAAATGGAGATCCATTCTTGGATATTTTGAACGAAGAGCATGAAATGCCATTTATGTTTGTTTGTCATTAAACCAGTTTATTTTACAGCCTGGGTTTCTCTCAGACAGACAATAATATTAACACCAGGCACATCAGAACATTTTACTCTTAACACTGGAGGCTGACTGTTGTCTACCTGTTAAGTGGAAGATGCTCTACCTCACAGGTCCTTTCATAAGTCAAGTCCTTAATATCATTTTGAAAATTGTAATTTATTTCCATCTTTTAAGCTCCATTAGAGGCCCTTCCTGAGTCCCAACACCCCACCGATCTCTCCTCTCTTTTTTTCCTCCCCCGTTCCTTTTCCTTTGTCCCTTCCTTCCTCTGCACGGGCACAATAACTTTACTTTCTGCACCGTATTTCCATCTTCCTGCTACATAAAAACTCCTGTTCTAATCCCATTCACTTCCATCGTGTCCTTCACTGCTTCCTGTTTGTCCCCTCTCCTTTGCATCTCTACTCTCCCTGGACATTTCCTCTTAACTGCCTTACTCCTTCTTTTGCCCTCCCCTCCCCCTTATTCCCGCTTTCTTCTCCTTCCTGTTTCCCATTGCTGTAACCTTTACTTTTCTTTTGTTGTTCCTTTCTGCTGTTCCCTCTCCTCAGCCCTTCGTTCTGCCCTCTATCCTCCTCTTCTTTCTTTTCTCCACTCTCTCCTTTTCGTCCCTGACCAAACTCTTCTTCCTCTACATCCTTTTCTTTGTCCTGTGACCTCAATCAATCATTTCTGTTGGTTTTTTTTTTTTTGGTTTTTTTTGTAAATGTTGTCATGTAAATGTACGCCATTACACATGTATTGTTTCCTTATTTTACTTTATTTCATTTCCTCTGTCTTAAATGATCAACGACCCTCCTCTCGTCTCTCCCTCTGTTTCTCTCTCTTTTCTCTTCTTTATTTTATTTTTGTGTTGATTTTACTTTTTTGTTCCGTCATTAACGTGCCCATGCATGCATGCAGCAGCCTGATTATAGGGACCAATCAGAATCAGAGGTTAAAGAGCAAGCTGAAGAAAACAGCCAATCAGAGAGTAACAAGGTGCAGAAGCAGGGAACCAGCCAGAATGAGTCGCAAGAGGAGCAGACGAATGAGGAGCTGGTGAGACATTCACTGACATTTAAGGGGAAACACACTCTAACACACACATGTATGCATATGTCTATATGTCTATATGTTTTAAGACTAACGTAGCACAAGGGATTCATGATGATAACAGGCCTCCTCCCTGAGTTGACCCCACCTCTCCCCCCTGCACCAATAATTATTGGTTGAAAGAACAACTGGAATTGTGTTGTTTTTAGATCTACAGCTACATTCATTTCATTATCCATATTTCTTAATCCAGAACGTTTCGATCCACTGCTCTGTTGAGGTCCTTTACAGATGTTGGGAAACACTCCATAAAACTGTGACATGCTGTTAGTGATGTGACACAGTGGTTGCACACCCCTGCCCGGCAGCTCAGAGCCAGAAACAGTGACTTCATCGTCAGCTGTGGAGCTGACAGGAAGAAGAGACCTTTGTTTTGTTGACCTTCCATAAGTGTTTGTCTCCGTGGCAACAACGACTTTGTTTACCATCATCCTTTTCCATGAATAGGCCTGGGGTGGAGGAGATTGTAGTGCACTGATACAGAGGAATAATGAGGTCTCAGATATTTTTAATAAAGATACTTGTGTCTGCAGCAGAGATGAAGGTTTTACTGTATGATAAACCATGGAATCAAGGATGTTATTTGCTAAGTTTGAGGTCTGTCTGGCCAGTGTTTATTCTTAACTAGACTGACCATGTCATCACAAAGGGGCATTTAGTGAATTATATGTTTCGTTAGTTAAGGGTTAGAAGAGGTTTCACTAACATCAACTTTAAGGTCTAAATATAGTTATAGAGCAAAAGGAAGAAGGAAGAAAAATGGCTCATTGACTCAAGATTCCAAAAGTTGTTTTTTTTTTTGTAACATCAGCATTTCCAACATTAAGGCTCTGTGATGAGTATAAGGTGTCCTGATTCACACCTGATATTTAAAGAAAAATATTTTTTGAAGCTATTGTAGTTATTACACATTAGCAGCTAATTTATTTAGCAAAGGCTAAGGCTCTTTTACAAGCTGGCAGCATTGAGCATCAGTGGCCGGAGTGAAGGTCAGGGTCTGAGCCCAGTGGAGAGTGGAAGAAAACATTAATGGTGCACCGGCGGTATGATGGAATCACACTCACTGAGCTGCCAAATCAGGCGTAAGAGGTTTGGGTGTGAAGATGTACAGTAAGGAGGGGTGATTTAATGGGTGTTGAATTTTTACTTTTTCTTAACGCTCTAGCTGCCTTGTCACATTTGCTCTCTTGCTTTCTCACTCTGTTATTAGCCTTTGTTACACACATCTTAACTAATATGTCTTATTTTTTTGCAGACATCCCAGTTCAGTCACTTAAAAGTGTCTGAAGAACAAAATACTCAGGACGATATGCAGGAAGACAAGTCCACTCAAGAAGAGACCACTGTTAGAGTCACACAGGTTTGTTTACTGATTGTTTTCTGGAAGCAACTGAGCACAGTAAAGCACCTTGTTATACCAAAGAAACATTTTTGAACTAAAATGCGGGATGTTTCACAATGAAAAGAGGCGTTGCATATTATTGTGAAGAAATATGGCTTTTAACATTTGAACTTTCTTTCAAACACAATGACACACTGACCCTCCCATTTAATTAATGACTGCATCATACTGAATGTCCTTTTCCACTCCACCTCCAGGAGGAGCATCAGAAGGCTCTTCTCCGTCGGGACTTCCAGCTGCAGAGTTTGGGTCTCCAGGCACGGCTGCAGCAGAAGTTATGGAGCCAGGAGAGGACTCTGCTGGTCCAGGAGTCTCAGCACCTCAAACAAACTCTGTTGGTGCTTAGCCTCAAACTACGCTGCTTCCTCAAACAGTGGCGACTGGGCTGCAAGAAAGACACTGAGTGGAAAGATGTCTTTGAGGTATGAGGGAATTACAAGGACAAAGGCTTCAGACAAGGTCTGCGTTGTTATTGGAATACAATTTCTCCTGAAGGTGACCTGAACTGAATATTGTATTTACATTACTGTTAGTTCTCTCGGCACTGAAGCCGGTTTTGAAGTTAACTCTAAACTGCAGGGCACAGTTCCCCTCACATTTAAAAGTCAACAGTGTAATTATTTATCAATCAAGTTGATATAGTAACTGGAAAGTGAGTCTTGAAAGTGCTTGAAAATCTCAGAAAATCTCATCAACAAGCTACTGATGATATTTTTCTACATTATAATTTGGTTCTCAGATGAACAGCCTGAAGGATCTCTACCTGCTGCTAGAAGAAGAAAACCTGACCAGTCCCACCCACCAAACTGACAAGAGGTCTTCTGCTGCAGCTGAGCTTCCCCTGAGTCCAACTATCAAGGTATCCAGAGTGACACAAAGATGCACTCACGCACACCCACCCGCAGATGAAGACTAACCTTATCTTTCCTTTATCCATAGTCAAGTGCTGTGAGCAGTACTCTGGCAGACCTGAAGGTAGCGCTGCAGGATATGAGTGGTGAGCTGCGGCAGGAAAGACAAGGCTCACAGGAGCTCACACAGCAGTTTGCAAAGGCCAAGGCATCATGGGAGGTGGAGAGGACAGAACTACAGAGCCTTATCACACAGGTGGGTAGGAAGTAAGAAGTGGAGCAGGAGTTTCTTCTTGGTTCTGAAATAAATCTGTACAAAGAAATCTATTCACCCGTTCACCTGTCTATCACTCCAGTCCACTTTAACACAGTGTAGCAGTGATGTCATTTTGTCTATAGGACAGAAAAAAGGTGATGGTAAAAGCTGCTGCTGGAAGATAATTGAATTTCTCGTCTAGACAAAGACTTGGCCTCTGTCCTATACTCTGTCCTATATTCTCTAACGCTGCCAAAAGGTTCCATTTTTGTTTAAGTGTTAATTTACATTTAACCTTGCAACTTCTCCTGACTCAGAAAGCCCTCTGGTTGCCAAATCTTAAAACCTTGACCTTCACTAGACTGCTTTATATTTTGATTGACATATAGAAACGCAGTGCAGTCTGGCCGGCAGTTTATTTTGCATTCCAATTATATTTTGTAGTCAGCTGTGCACCCAGCCAGGACAATAGTCATTAAAAGCAACGGGTGATGTAGCGTTTACGCATCTTGTTGTTAGTGCATGGCCGAGCGCCCATGTCTGAGAGAATACAGAACACCAGAACACCCCCTCCCCCCCGCTCTTTCCCCCGCCCACACAGACTGTCGATCCATTCACAGCTTTTGCTCCACTGAACTTTGTTTAAAAAACTGTAATTTCTCAAACTTACTTTTCCCACAGAACATTACAAATCGGAACATTAACACATTAAAGTCTCTGGTGAAATCAAATGATCTTAATTTATAGAAAAGTTAAACAAATAACTCAACTAAAAATTATTCATCACCATCAGAGAAATCTTGCACTTGCATGGAGTCAGTGATTTGATTGATTGGGCAGTTAAACTCACAACCAAAGGGCAGTGCAAACACCACGAGACATGGCGTTTTTGTTTTTTTGATTTTTTATTATGACTCAGCTGCAGATGTTTCTGAGATTAAATTTAAGGATTAACATCGGGGGATCATGCAGCTGTGCAAATATGATGTCTGTCACAGTGACTTAGATTCCACAGCTGCAATCCACATCTGATGTGCTACCAGTGCACACTGTAAAGTATGCCATCATTTTGGCCCAGTTGTATATCTGTGTGTGTTTGATCACACCCTGCAGCTGTTGCCTGGCTGAACATCACTGTCCTCTACATCACAGAGAAGGTCATGAAATTATCTTTCAAGATACTTTCTTGCTCTGCCTGAATAAACAAGTAAACTGGTACATATAAATTACCCAGGAAGGCCTAAAAACATGCAGTTTTTCCTCCCGCCATCATCAGTCATAAACACTGAGAGCAGGACATGTGACAAACACCTGCTGTCGCTTCACTGACAGAGGAGCAGCTGGAGGCTGTGAGAGCTCATCCATCACGTCTGTTTGTCCTGCAGCACTAATGCCAGTGTGTCTTAATATTCAACGACAGCTCTCACAGAAATGATGATAATGACAAACACGGATTGTGTTTTACTGGGGAACAACACAAGAGTGTTTTCAGATCTGTCGTCTACATTTTTTTATTACAATTTAGTGGTTTGAATGAAATGTTTGAGCCACTGTTTCTGCTGCAGATTTGTCAGACAGATGTTTCTGCAACATCTGTGAGCTGAATATGAAGCTCCTTTCAAGTTTTATCAAATGTTAGACAGAGATCAAACCCAACGTGATACAGGTGCAAGGTAACCAGAGTGTGGTTTTAAACAGAAATGACCTGAGTTCAGGTAGGTGTCTAATCTAGATAGAGGTAAAAAAAAAAAAAACACAAATTAAAGGTCAAATAAAAACTTATGTTTGATGTCAGGTACATTTGCGATTTTGTTTTTTGTTTTTTGTTTTTTTGCCTTAAAGCAGTTGGTTTTCACCTCTTAACAACAGACAAGGCTAGCCTATTTATTCATATATGGCTGCATTGCTCCAAACTTACTTTTTTCCTAAGACAGTAAAGGCATCATTGGCCCTACTTTTACTGAGGATGAATACTTTATTGGACCAGTGCAACACATCACATCAAGGCTGCTGGTTCAATTGCCAGCATTTAGACTGTGAGCTACAGGAAAGTGCTGCAGGGATAGATATTACTGCAACTTCTTATTATGGTGGCGGCTGAATAAAATGGATCTGTAGCTGATTTGGTGCTTGTAGATTTACATATATCACAAGTTCACTTGTGTGTGTTTTTTTATCACTTACATAAAGTAAAATTTCAGCATTTTTAGCTAAAGCTGATTTTATGCATCTGTTTTTTATTATTCTTAAATATTTATGTATTAAAAACTAAAGTAAATATTACTAGGAAACCCAGTACTCTGAGTTTTTCTTTCATTTGAACATCCGTTTTAACAGTACTTTAGTGTATCATGTGTTAGTGATCAATAAGTACTGATGTTGCCAAAGATTTTGTGAACACTTTTAGCACTCCAGCAGTAAACCTTGTTAATGTGTCAGGCCCATTGGGTCGTGTTCATTACTAAGAAGAAACGCTCAGTTAATGTTGGTGACCAGAGCTGGGCTAAATGTGCGTTTGTTACGCTGTGATTGGCTGGCTGACAATTCCATTAGTACTTTATAAGGAATTCACTGCCACAGAGCCAGACTTAGGGAGAGGCAGTGACAGGATTGATGGGTCTGGGTGTGTGGCTCTGTTGGCGTGTGTGTGTGTGTATGTGTGTGTTTGGGAGTGAGTTCTTGTTTTTTAAATTGACAGCCACATAGTGTGTGAACTATGAGGCTCAGACAGAGGCAGAGTGAAAAAGCCAAGCTCCTCATGAAAATTTCAAGTCATCCCACCTAGAGGCTTTGTGACAACAAGAGCAATTTATGACGGTGAGAAACGGGGGGAGTGAGCTGGAAATAGAGAGTGAGCGAGCGCTGTTAAGGGAGGCTGTAGGAGGTGTAAGGCGGTAGAGAAGGATGGAAGGAAGGAATTCATGAGGAGGAATGAAAGAATTCCCTTTTAATGCTAATGAAAACACAAAGGCAGCAGACGTAGGTGATCAAGAAGAAATAGTGAGGTTTCTGTGGAAAGACACAAAATATAATTCTGAATATTACTTTATTTTTGAACAGATTGTCATCTTAATAAAAGGAGATAGAGAAAGAAAAAAACTCAATTGTAGCTCTTTGTTAAGAGCCTGATTGCAGGTGTTCATGTCTAGCTTTATTGGCTATTTTCTTTAAATGCGATTTAGAAATGTAAAATGTATTTGACCTAGTATTTGTAAAGGAAACTCTAGAGGAAAACTCTAGGAAAAACATCTATTTATGTAAATGTAGCCATTGTTTCCTGTAGCGTTTGTCATTTGAGTGACAGCCCTAAAATTCAGCCGGTCCTGGTGTAAATTTCCACTTTGTATCTTTAATGCACAACCATCTTAGATCCAATCTGTGATCAGAACACCGTCTTTTCTGTTGAATAAAATGTATTTAATTTATTTAATAACTCTTTGCATTCTTCCTTTCAGCTGGAGAACAAGGCAGGCAAAGCTCCATCAGCCATGTCAACCACAGATGCTGTGGAACCTCCAGACCTGAAGGTGGCGCTGAAGAGGGAACGTGAAGAACACCAACATCTGCTGGCTGAATCCTATGCAGCTGTGATGGATCTAACTAAACAGGTGCTTTACCTGACATGAGGTCAAGGCCTATTTTCACAAACTGGGTTGTGCAGCAGGATCGTGAACTTAGTTCATGCTCCAAATAGCTCTGCTGCCTGTTTCTGGAACAGCTCAAGAGAATACACATCAATAATCACAGCTAACTTGTGCAACGTTAAAGTTTTTCTCCTTGAGTGTCCTTGATTTGCATCTAAATCAGTCTGCTTCTCCTCCTCCTGCGGTGTTGACCTCCTCTTGTTGTTACTCCCTGCTGTGCCTGGCGAATCCACCAATCAGCTTCAGATTGGAGAGAGGAACTGGGGCAGGGAGAAGCTGGAGATGCTGGAGAGGTTCAGCCAGGAGAGAGCTCAGTGGGAGCAGAAGCTGAGAGAGGCCACCGCACAACAGGGCAAGGTATGAAAAGAAATATCATGTCAGAAAAAATATTAAAATTAAAAAATTATAAATTAATAGACAAAGTAACAACTGGAGCGTGGATAAAATAATATTTATCTGTGTTAAGGATAAAGTCATTTTTTCTACCTTTGAGGTGAAATATCGTTATGGTCTGGAATTACCACATAACAGTAAAACAGGCTGACTCAGAATTTCCTTTTAAGTGTGTGTGTGTGTATGTTCATGCATTGCTGGTATGGCTATCCAGGAACTTGGGAAATATTCTAATATTTCATACTGTTGTCAAGGGAACACTTTGTCCTTGTGGGAACATTTTAAAGGACCCCACTCAGTGAGACGGTATGTTGGGGTTATGTTAGAATTAGGGTCAGATTAGAGAGTGTAGTAGAGATAAGAGGGATTAGAGAGTGTAGTATATATATATATATAATTAGAGGGAGAGAGACAACAACATTGTTAATGTACAGTATATTACTGAAACATATGCAAAAGTCAAATTCAACAAACAAACACATGCTGTGTAGGCTCTGGAAGGTATTTAAAGCTTCTTCATTGCATGTAAATGACTGCAGAGCTGGTCCTCTAAACACACTGACTGTTATTTTGGATACAATGTGTGTTTTGTTTTGTTCTGTAATATGTGTGTGATGGAAATGGAAATGCAGGTCTGTAGAGAGTGAACGTCTGTCAGGTTGAGTGAAGCTTTTGAAGATGACAGGACATTAAGGATGCTACAGGAGTTCCTGTATCAGCGCAGATAACTGCAGGTCGTTTAACGGCCTAACAGTCTGGAAAAGCAGATTTCTATTTTTCTCTGACAGCCTGCACTTTTTTTTATTTTCACAGTCAAAGTCATCAAGTCATGGTGAACTGTCTGCAGACACAGTGGTTTTAAATGGGACAGGATCACCAAGGTAAAACAAATGGAAACATATTTTATTCCTTTTGCCAAACAGTCTTGTGTCTAATGTTTTTTTTTTAACTCAATGTGTTTCTTTCTTGTGAAGGACAAAGTCCACATCAGAGCTGGATGCACCAGAATTTAACGGAGCAGTGAACCAGGAACAGAAAATCCAGCTCCCACTTTTGATTCGCCCAGAGCTACGTGACCTCACTGGGAAAAATTGGATTTATCTGAACAATGAGGTGACCAATCTTCTGTCTGGAATTAAAAACAGTCACAAACTGGACGCTAACCTCAAAATTGAGAAACCTTCCACAGCTATTCCAACTGCTGTTTTCTTGTCCCCTAGACCCCTGACATTGTGGACACCTGTAAAACCTGGGACGGTCCCAGCGGCTCCTGCAGCAGCCTGGTGGGACCGGAGCTGGAGCTGGAGTCTGTTCAGAGGAGCTACACCGCTCCAGACCGCACCGGCATTCGTATCTACTACAGCCCTCCTGCTGTGCGACGCATCGAGCAACAGAAGAAGGACCAAAACACACAGCTGATTCAGATCAGGAGTTCGTCTGTGGGACCAAATCCCTGGAATCCCAGTGTGCCTGGGTTGGAAACATCCGATCTTCAACAACAACCTTTAACCTCCTCCTCCTCCTCTTTTCCGTCCTCCTATGAGCAGTGGTTGAGCTCACTGTCCAAGCAGCACAGGGAGCTGCTGGAGAGCAGAAGCAGCTGCATCTCTGACCCCATCCCCAGTGCAGTCAGCAACGGTGTTGGCAGCAGCTCTACCAACGGTGTGGTCGATGGAATCTCGTCCGCTTCTGCGTTCCATGGGCTGGAGATCGGAGAGATTTCAGCCAACCTGAGTGATGACATGAAGGAGATGACCAACTGCGTACGTCAGGCAATACGATCCTCATCATTGGAGAGGAAATCCAGCAAGGAAGCTGGAAATCAGGTTTGTTGGTTTTCCAGCTACAGACAGGGTTTTTCCTGTTTTTTAGTATATAACTATTAACCTACTTAATATTCAAAGTTTTGGGTAATTTTGCCACAAAAACAATTTTCAGACATCTAAAATGAATGGCCGACTTGCAAAAATGTGCATTGTCATGAAAATCTTGAGAGTGACTCTATTTAGAGTTTGTTCTTTAAGGAAACAATACTCATAAGAAAAATGTTTTTGCAAAAAAAATGTTTTAAAACTTTAAAATCAATGCTTTGGAAGTTGTTTTCTTCCTGAATTATAAAGCCTTTCTTGTCTCATGTTTTCTTCCTGAATTATAAAGCCTTTTTCTATCTCCTACATTTCTCCACACAGATGGTTGGCATGTCCACCAGGTCCACGCAGACTGCTGCCCAGTATGTGAGCATTGGGCTTCAAACTGACAACCTTCCCAGCAGCAGAGCGTCAGGGTTACACACCAAAACCTGGTCTCCTCGGCCCTCGTCAGTGTCCACCTCCTCACTGGTGTCTGCTCGGACCCGGCAGATTTCAACATCACTGGATAAAGTTCACAGCCGCATCGAGCGTCCGTGCTGTTCGCCTAAATATGGATCACCAAAACTTCAGCGCAGAGTCTCTTCTGGTAACTTCCTACTCGGTATCTTGCATTTTCATAATTTTTCTTCTATAGTTTCTTGATGATTTAAATATTCATATCTGTCTTTAGGCTCCACCTCCCGACTGGACGGATCTTCTTCTTCCTCAAGAGATCGCAGCCTTTGGAACATACCCCAGAGAACCTTGGGTGGAGGCGGAGGCTCAGCCTGGGCTCGTTCCACCACCACCCGGGACAGCCCCGTTCTCAGCGGCCTCACAGACGGCCTCTCCAGCCTCTTCAGTGTGGTAGAACACGCGGGGAGCACCGAGTCTCTCTGGAGGAGCGACGGAGGTACGAGTGTGCTCACGTGATTGGACAAAAGTCTGACTGTTGTTGTGGTTGAAACAGTAGTGTCTTTGGGAAACACATGTACATCAAGGATAATGAAGCATTGGCCTTTAGGCCATATATTCCCTAATAGAATAGCAGTTTCTTTTTGAAAGTGAGTTCCTCAGTTTATGACTTTCTTTGTATGTTTGTGTAAATCGAGTATTTCCAAAATGTTTACTTTGCTAAATTAAATATATATATGTGCCCTTTTAAATGATGTTAACTTTAACTTTAAAATCTACTTATAAAAATGATCTCACCAAGTCTCCAAACACTAGTCATGGACATAATCTCAAACTGTTGAGGTTGTGTTTCAGTGAAATAATCGCAACAGTTTCAATCTAAGTTTCATATCTGTGTGTTAGAGTCTGAACATATTTCTTGTGTCTTCATTAATGTGTTGATGTTTGGTTTTATGGCCTCGATAAATCTCGTCCAATCCCTCTTCAACATTAGGAGCCAGTCAAACTGCCAGTCCAGCCCGACAACAACCTGCAGGAAAACCTTCTGGTCTGGCAGCATGTGTTTCTGACTCTTGCTCCCAGCGTTACGGAGGTCTGGTACAGGAGTTCTTCAGGAATGTGTGCGGTGGCCGCAGCCAAGGAGGAGTCGCCGCCCTACAGGGGGAGAGAGCGCAGAGAGACTCCCAGGGCAGCCTCCGTGGTCTGGGCATCATGGATGAGCCCAAACCAGAATGTTTTTCCACTGGGGCTGGAGCGCTGACCGTGCTGGGCGGAGGCAACGACAGTGTGACCAGGATTGTTAATAAGAGGTTCATGAGGCAAACGGTCGGAGAAGAGATGGTCACACTCAAGGGAGGAGGAAAGGAAACGATGAGCAACGGTGCAGCTGCAGTGACGGAGGTAAGATCTCTGGGGATACAATTTCATTTCTGAAAGGGATGATATATAATCATTTATGTCAGATTTATATTATTATTTTCGGAAGAATCTATTGTCGCTGATCACAGGTCGACAGTTCAGCCTTGCCCCGTAGCACTGTCATTGCTGTTACGAATGTGGTAAATTTCTTGAACCTCTGCACATTGGTGAAGGTCAGCGACAGTGCAACATGATCAGTCTGCGTTTGGAGGATCCAGCTGTCAATCATATGCAGTGACCAACCACATTCACCCTCCCAGCTCTTCCTCCCACTTCTGTTTTCTCTCTCTTTCTGGCCTGGTTCATTTGTAACACAAAAAACTGACCTTGTGTTCTATTGAAAGAGGATCATGGGTAACACAATTAGCAACATTATAAACTATATATACTGCGACAGAAGAGCAGCCATGTCTGACAACTGAAGTGTCTACTTACATGTACATCTTTGGCTAACCTGTAGCTTCTACTTCCCAGGATGCACCCTGTGACTGCGCCAGCCAATCCCCCTGCCTCACCCGACCGTCGCGAGCTCGCCACTCGCATGGGCAGTGCAAGCATCGCCATCAAGAGCCTCCGGCTGCAGCTGAGGAGAAGAGGGACAGCTTCAGCGAGTGACGACGACTCCGCTTCAACATTTGAATAAAGACACAGACACACAAACACACACCACCGCACATGCAATAATGCACAATACACTCTGCTCACCACGTGTACATACAAACCTGCCACACGGGCACACTGCCAGATACAGCACACACTGCAAGCACGCTGCACTGTCTGTCCCAGGAGGCCACTGCCACACACACACACACGCAGTCACTCAATAACTCCTACATTCTAACACTTATTCTGACAGATAGGAAACATGGAGAAAACTCCAACCCAACCATTTGGACTGACCTAAAAACTACCAGCAGCATTAAAAGCAGAGAAACGTGTCATTTAAAAAGTAATGTACTGAATAAATTCCATTCACGACAAAAGAGTCTTAAAATTCTACCCCCACTACTGCGACCATGCAATAGACTCAGTTTTCTTTACGCCCACAGAAGAGACATACATCACATCTACAGCAGAACTCTCGTCAAGTTACTGACTTTTATCATCAACCTGGGACGTCTTCTAATGAGTCCGACCTTATTTACTGCTGTTTGTGCCGCTGAACGCGTCTCCGCCACAAAGAATGATCACCACAGTAAAAATGCAGCCAACATCTCCACTGGCACGTTGAGAAAACACACAATTCAGACGCAGCTCATCAGTTCAGACTGTGATCGTCTTTGAGATCTGACCAAACTGACCTCAGACTGGACCATGTTGTACAGTAGCAAATCATACACGACTCAAGACCTGACTCCAGGCTCATTGATAGGATCAACACTCCACCTATTTTCCCAGTAGTTAATGAATACAAGGACGTCATTGGCTTTAGAGCCACGGGTTTTTTACCCCCAGAATCTGTACTGTAGGCAGTAAAAGTGCCTCATTATTTGGAGATTTTTCACCAGTGATGTCAAGGTTCATACATAGAACTGGACTGCTGATCGGAATGACAAATGAGGCGCACAGTGCTGCACCAATAACTGAGGACTACTCTTGTGTCCACAGATCTGCTCTGCATTGACGAAACAGACAAGACATGAAAAATACAAGTCAGAACATGAATTCAATTCATTTTATTTTCACTTTGTAAAGAATTTGAGAAAAATATGTTTATTTTCATTGAACTTTTACATTGCTCTGCCACTTTTATAACCTGGTTTATGTATTTAGTCCAACTTTAACCAATCAGGT